CATTTTGCTTCCTCCTCCCCAGGTTTCTCTCTTTGCAGCTTGCAGTTCAGTCTAACAGGTGTTGATCCCCTCTTGCAGTTACAGGGACAGGAGCAATGAGGACAACCAGAGAAGGGAGACACAGTCCAGCCTGCTTCTGGGTTTTTTGTTTGTTTGTTTGTTTTTTGGTTTTCTGTTCCTCTGTACAGCACATTCTTTGTATTATTGTGCATCATGCACATAAAAATACTAGACTCTTTCCAGCAAAATCTTTTCTCATTTTATCTCAATCTCCTCACTTAACTGGCTGAGGCATGACTGAGGTAAACTGGAGAATTCCCAGGCAAGGAGCAGAGGATGCCCCTAACAGAGGGTTTCCCATTCTATTGGCTAACCTTGGTCTGATGGGGGCTAAGACTGTCATTAATATTGTTCTGTGGTAGTTCATGGTCGTGGAAATGTTAACTAGTCAATGCTGCCCCACAGCAGCCTGTGAGCCTGAGCAGGGTGGAGGGTTGGATGCTGCTCTAGAAGGAATAGAGCTAGGCGAAGTGAGATTATGTTGTGGGGCATGTGAGGTGGCTCTGTTTCTCTATGCCTCACACCCACTCTAGAACCGGATACTGGTGCTTATCCCCTAGAGGAACCTGCTTTCTTTCCCCTTCCCTGATCTCTGTGCTCTCTCTCTCTTTCTCCCAAATAACCCTGTCCATAGGGAGGGCAGGCCCAGCACAGGGGGGTGTTGTCTAGGGCTTAGGGAAGACTCCCAGGTTTGAGTCTCAGGAGACCAGCATAATGGGGGAGGGAGGAGACAGGACTCTGGACTGACTGGCATTTGTCAAGGGGACTGGGGTGGGAAGCGAAACTCAGGCCACCATCAGGCGTTTGCGTAGAAAAGCCCTATTGAATGGCCTGGGGATTCTGTACTCTCTCACCATGCACTTCTCCTCTGCCAAGGCCTTCCTCTCTACTTTCTCCCCACTGTCTGAGAGCCTATCAGACTCAGCACAGGAATATAGGACAGCAGTGATGGGATTGCTCTACAAGGCCACCCCCTTCGGTCATCTGTTCCACTTGGTGGTTCTTGAAGCCACCCCTGGCAGAGTTCAAGCTAAGCTGGCCTTGTAAGCAGGAGGGTGGAGCTCAGAGTTGATGTCTCATTAGCATATTCATCCATAGTAATCAGAGACCTGCTGCGATCAAAAGCTCTCCTCAGGCTTCCCTGCCTCTCTGCTAGGTTGAGAAGCTGACAGAGGGTGGTCAAGTCCCCACTTGAAAGGCAACCTAGCCGGGAGGGAATGGGAAAGAATGGAGAGAGGACAATACCCCCAGAGAAGGGAACTTCTGGTAGGGAAGAATGTTGGGCACCTCTTGTCCTCTTGAACGGGAGACAAGACATCTGCCTCCTAGATCACCCATTCCCATGGCCACTGTGGCTCCCAAGAATGTATCCAGGAGAAAGAACAGTTCACTTTTTATTTGCTGTACTCTATATGAGTGGAAACATAGCAATCGCCTCATTCCCCGACAGCCTAGATACTGTGGCCTAGTATGAAGCCAAAGAAAACAGTAAGTTGATTTTTTTTTAAAAAAATTTACTTGTATTTATTTAATTGTGTGTGTTTGGTGGTGGTGGTGGGGTGCTCACATGTACCATGGAGCACTTACTGAAGTTGGAGGACACCTGGTGAGAGTTGGTCCTCTCCTTCTACCGTGTAGGTTTCTAGGATCAAATTCAGGTTGGCAGCAAGAGCCTTTTACCCACTGGGCCGGCTCGCTGGCTCCCGATTTTAAATTATGTGGGAGAAAATATTAAACAGCAATGCATTTGGTAGTCATTGTCAAGGAAGCATGCCTGATGGGCATCTGGGATGCTGGGGTGTGTGTGTGGGGGTGTGTGTGTGTGTGTGCGCGCGCACATGCACATGAGTGTGTTTTCAGTTATGGGTGCATATGTGTGGAGCGCACAGGGAAGTCAGAGCACAGCCTCATGCCTTTCCTCACGCTCCTTTTACCTTCTGTTTGAGACAGGGTCTCCCACTAGCCGGGGACATCACCAATGACTGGCAAGCCCCAGGGATCCCCCATCTCTGCTTCCCATCTTGCCATCTCTGGGATTACAAGCATAGGACACCTTGTTCGGCTTTTTATGTTGGTTCTAGGGGTTCAAACTCAGGTCCTCATGCTTATAAAGCACACAGTTTACCAACGGCGCCACCTCCCCAGTCCTGGGCACTGGTTTTTAATGGCAGCTGGCTTCCCCTGTGTAGTGGGTCAAGAAAAAGAACAAGACAGAGGTTATGATGCTTTCATGACCTAAAATGTGGAAGTCATGTGCTATTATTTTTGTTATATTCTGTTGACCACACGGACCAGCAGGAACACATTGTGAGAGGAACCTACTTAAGCACATGAGTATCAAGAGGCAGAATCCTTGGGAACCATCATCTTGGAGTCTGGGTACCTAATGCATGGGGAATACTAACCTGAGCAAACTGAAGCAGAGTCCCTTTTTACAGGGTGTCCAGAGGCCTTCAAAGGCTCCCATATGTGCTGTGAGTCAGCAGTGTGGCCACAGCACTCTTCTCTAGGGAGAAGATAAGGAAACCTGTAAGAAACATGCTTTGGTATGCCTGCCTGGCCTGGAGAAGAAAGTCTAAACTTTTCCTGGTGCTCATATTCCTATACAGTCTGGCAGGAACTTCCAATGCAAACTTTTCTCTCCTTGCTTTACACCCCGATGAATGTGTATATGTGGTGTGCAGGTGTGTGCACATGCATCGTGGCATGTGTGGGGGCACATGCAGATGTGTGCATGTGGAGGCCTGTGGTTGATGTCTTCCTTGATCGTTCTCCAACCTACTCACTGAGGCGGGGTCTCTCAATCAAACCCAGGGCTCATCCATGTGGCCAGGCTAGCTAGCCAGCTTGTTATGTGTACCCCTGTCCCTGCCTTCCTAGCCATGCCATAGCCACTGGCATTTAGGGGGTTCTGGGTCTCCGAGGTCCTCCTATTTACATGACAAGTGCTCTAAGTGTGGAGCCGGCTCCCTAGCCCCGTTCCGCTTATTCCTATTGCCTTTCATTTTTCTCCTCCTTTTTCTCTTTATTTATTTTGAGACAGAGTCTCCTGTATCTCATGCTCACCTCCAACTCACTATGTAGCCAAGGATGAACTTCCAGTCCTCCTGTCTCCACCTCCAGAGTCCTGGGATTACAGGTGTGTGCCACCCATCCTGGTTTTACATGGCACTAGGTATCGACGCCAGCGCTTCCTTCACCACAGGCAGTCACTTTTCCGACTGAGCTACATCCCTCACCCAGTGCTCCACTTTCTGAAATCTGCTCCCCGGACACTTGCCCTTACAGATATTTCTGGGGCTGTTTGTTCTGCTCTCTTGCCTCTTCCGGTTGCTGAGTTTGGACTTACTCCCCGGGGTGGCGGGACAGCGCAGTCTCTGTAAGCCTCCGCCATATCCCACAAAAAGAATTATTATCCTTTGTTTTGTTTTTTTTGCCAGGTGTGGTGGCTCATATCATAATCCCAGCACTTGGGAAGCTGAGGCAGGAAGATCACAGCAAGTTTGAGGCCAGCCTGAACTACATAGTGAGTTCCAGGCCAGCCTAGACTACAGAGTGAGACCCTATCTCAAAAACAACAACGATAAAACAAGACAAAACCAAAACACCCCCAAACAAAACAAAGAACTCAACCAAACAAACAAAAAGAAACCCCCAAACAATTTGTTCCTCCTTTGCTTCGTTTTACATGGTGACATATTTGGGACTAGGGGTACCCACACTCTGACCTGCCTGCGAATTCCCGCCTCTTCCAGGCACTTAATTCCAGGGCTACGTGCTGCATGTTCTAGTGTTTAGTGCTGCACTGGAGTTTATGGGCAATCTGGTAAACGAGGCCTCGCTCTTTTCGTCCCCCTTGGTTCTGAGCAAAGTTTCTGATGAGCCAGGAGAAAGCCTTTTTTAAGGCCAAACTAGGAGATCCTCCTGCCCAGGGGCCATGATGTCATGAAGCTGGAATCATGCCCTCTGTACCCAGAAAGGGTATTTCCCATCTATAGTCCAAGGTCTAGGATGAGCAGGCTAATAGCCTGGAACCAGTTCAGTGTCCCTGCTAGTCTGATGGACATCATGTCCCAGGCAATGCCGTCGTCTCAGTGAAGCCCTAGCTGAAAGCTGGGGTGCAGTAGGAAATTCATTCCGGTATCTCCAAGGTGCCCCCTGATGCCCTAGTACACACTCCTACATGCCTCTGGATAGTACAGTGAATTGGTTTACAGTTTACACACTTGATTTTAGAGATAAGCCTTCCTAAATATGGGTCCCAGGGAAAAGCTTGCAGTGGGGAGAGCCTGTCCGATGCCTTCATGCAGCACTGTGGTGTTCCTTCTTCTCAAAGAAGCACGCTGGGGTAGCCTCAGTGCTGGAGGCCTCTCTGTGGAACTGATATGGTCCTGTCCAGGATGGAAGGGCCCATCTCACTTGACCTCTTGGCATGTCCAAGCCTACTCCTGGCCAGAACCACTGGGGTCTTGCTCACCGGAGGGCCCTTCCCGTGGTTTTCCAGTTCCTTTCCTCCCACAGTGGCGTGGGCCTGGCAAGAGCACATTTTGAAAAGCAGCCCCCCTCCAACCTCAGGAAGTCCAACTTCTTCCACTTCGTGCTGGCCATGTACGACCGGCAGGGGCAGCCCGTGGAGGTGGAGCGCACAGCCTTCATCGACTTCGTGGAAAAGGATCGAGTGAGAGGCTCATGGGCTGGCCTGGGACTAGCACTGGGGGTGATGGAGGGGCTTCAGGGACCTGGCCACATACACATGCACGAGCACACTGGGGGCGCTGAGTGAATAGATAGATGGTGAATGAGTGGGAAAGCATGGGCCGATGGCTGGAAGGCAAAGAAGGATCGTGGGATTCGGGTGGAGGGTAGGAATGAAGGAGGCTATGGGTGAAGGAGCTTGAAGGCCCTGAGCACTTGAACATCCTCCTATCTTGTCCTTGCAGGAGCCTGGGGCAGAAAAGACGAACAATGGGATCCATTACCGCCTTCGGCTGGTGTATAACAATGGTAAGCAGTCTGAATACTGTAGCACCCTGAGACACATAGCACCCTCATCAGGGCTGGAAAGGGTGTGGGTCTAGTCATCTGAGGCACCCTCATCCTCCCCTGACAGCAAGTTCTTTCTACCTTCCCATGCCAGGACTTCGGACAGAGCAAGACCTCTATGTGCGTCTCATCGACTCCATGTCGAAGCAGGTGAGTGCTCAGGCCCATCCTAGGCTTGTTTGAGTAAACATCCTTAACCCCTCTCTGTTTCTTTTGTACCTTTAATCCCACTGCTCTGGCTCTCCCAGTTCCCTGCCTATGGCAAGAAGATGGTGCTTTGTCTCTCCAGTCGGGAAAAGAAAGTATTTATGAAAAGACCCTGGCTTAAGTCCTATCCCTTAGCAGCCAAATCTTAGACACATAATCAGGAGCATGCAGTTTATTGGCGAGGAGAGAACGCCCTCCTCAGGAGGAGAGGAAAGGGAGCAGGGCAGGGGGATACCCAGGAAGCAAGTGGTCTCAGGTAGAGTCCAGCCTTAACCCAGTCCACAGACATCCCTGGACTAGAAATGGCACTGGAGTTGGTGCCCTTAGAGCCAGAAGGCAGCATTTTGCATCTTCTGTCCATCAGCTGTTGTCTGGGGACCGTGCCTAAGGCGAGAGTACACAGTAGAGGCAACTCCACTGAGAGCAGTTCTCCAGAGAAAATCCTCTGGTGTCATCACCAACTGTAAAGGGGGATGGGCGCACTGGGTCTTCCTGTGTGCGTCCCACAGCTCATACTGCAGGGGACACTCAGCATGTGGTCCCAGGAAGGAGGCTGGGGCTGACAGAGCAGCTCAGGAAAACCAACCTGATGCACTGTGAGAGGCAGCCCAGGTCCCAGGGCTTTCAGAAACACGCTGGGAGAAGGAGCTTGAGTTGTAAACGGGCCAGATTAGCGGGTCTGGAATGAAACATGGCAACTTGCAGCCTCCACCCAGTCCTAGTCCCAAAGCAAAGCAGAATGGCTTATACCCAGAGAGCTCTCTGTCACTGTGACAGGGGAGGCAGGCCAAGCAGTGGCAGTGATACTGGGTGGCAATGTGGGAGCCTCGAGAGAAAAGGACCTGCAAACAGAGGAAGGCTGGAAGGTCCAGAGGCTAGGAGACTAGGAAGCCAGATTTACAGTTTGGGAAGCTCACTTCTGGGGCGGGGGCGGGCTGGGCGACTGGGGAAGACAGGATACAATGGTGCAAGAGCAACATACTGGTCCAAGCTGGGGAAGTGACATCAGGGAGGCAGGGAGAGGCAGCCCAGTGGCCTGTTCTCTTGGAGTGCAGAGAGGGACAGAGTACATGAGCAGAGAGGCAGGAGCCCACCGTAAGCACAGAACAGCCTGCACAGGACAAGATGCCAGGAGTGGCTGAGGATGCGAGCAGGGTGGGACCAGCAGCCTGTTGGCTCCTCCGGCAGGGGATCCGCAGACCTGGCGCCATTCTTGCCACCTAGGTGATGGTCCTCTTTGAGGGTAGAAGGCTCTCCTCCATCTGAGCAGCCAGGCTTCAGATGGACTCTGCTTTGCACCCATGGACCCTTCAGATCAGGGCAAAGGGCATGGTCTTTCTTGGGGTGGGGACCTCTCCTGGGCCTGGGTTTGGCAGACACCAGGGCAGGCTCACAGGCTCGCCTGTGCTTGCCACGGGGCCTTGAGAGGAGCCTCCTTCCCCGCGAGCCTGCACGTTCCCTCCTCCCCAGGCTATCATCTATGAGGGACAAGACAAGAATCCTGAAATGTGCCGAGTGCTGCTCACTCACGAGATCATGTGCAGGTAAGATGGGCAGTGTCAAGATGCACCTTGGGGTTGGCAAGACAATGTACCTTGTCAAGATGTAGCTCAGGGTCCCTGTCAGGCCCTGCCCCTAGTTCACAACACCTCCAGTCCCCTGGGGAAGCAGGGGCAGGGGAGAGACTCCTTGAGGCCCCATTAACCTGGCCTGTTTATGTGACTTCTCTAAGTGTTTTTGCAAGAGAGGCCTCCTACTGCTTCTGGAAGCTTAACTAATGAAGCTCCAGGGAGTAGCTCTCTGGGAAGATGGGGACAGGGCTGGCTTGGGCAACACAGAGGCCTCTGGGATTTGCTTAGGGGCCTGGTAGAGGAAACCCAGCTGTTTAGATGTGAGAAATGCTGGGCAGCTTGGGGGTTCGGGAGGGGGACATAGCTCTTAGCTCTCCCTTCCCTTTACTCTAGAGCTTAACATTTTCTACGGGGCTTCCCTGGATATACCAGTCCTGCTGTGCCTCAGAGACAGTTCCTAATATGTGGGAAAGAAAATATGTTTAAAAACCTGTAGTTGAGACAGTGGCCACCCTTGGAAGGGAAATGATTAAAATAATAATAATTTTTAAAAGCTAGAGAAGGCCTCTGGAGTGCTGGGCACTGGACATGTTTGGGTCAGGGTGCTGCTTACAGGGGCAGGTTCACTTTGTGATCATCCAGGAGACCCTGTAGGTGACCCACTGCTTGGTGGCACAAAGATTTCACAGCCAGCCTCATCCTTAGAACTGGGCTGCCAAGGGTCCTGCTGAGAGCCTTCCTGGCTTTCTCCCTCAAGTCCCTGGAAGAGATCCCCTGCACATAGGAATTCTACACCCTGAGCAGGACATCTCATCCCTCACTGGGCCTGTCCTCTCACACTCCTTCATCTCTTCTTTCTGTCTTTCTTCATCTCTTCTTCAGTCGGTGCTGTGACCGCAAGAGCTGTGGTAACCGGAATGAGACACCTTCAGATCCAGTCATTATTGACAGGTACAGGCTTGGGGAGGGGACCTGGACTGAACCACTGAGCATTCAGCAAAGAGGTGGAAGCAGAGAGGTTCCCTAGGGTGCTATGTGGGTGGCTCTGAGGCCAGTGAGACTTCCTAAGGGGCCAAGGAAGTGCCAGCCATAGCCCGCTGAGAGAAGTCCCTCTGACAAGCTTTCTGGAGCTGCAGTCCCCAGCTCCTTTAGCAAAGGAACCAGAGAAGAACAAGGATGTGACAGGGTGGGGAAGAGCATCTGAGGAGGGACCACAGAGAGTGGGGTTGTGTGGGCAAGGTGCTGGTGCTCTGTGCTGTTTGCCTTAACTCCTGAGTGCTAGGAACACATCTGTGCGCTCCCACACCTGTCTTAGATCTGGATTTTGTTATATAAGGGGAGAAGCCAAGAGTCAAAGACACAGAGAGAGAAATGACATTCAAAGATGTCCACAAGGTTGCAGATCTGATCAACTTGGATCTAATGGAGGGAGTCCATTAGAAAGGAGATTTGTGGAGAGAGAGCAAGTTTGCAGGGTGAAATGCTAGGAGTTTGGTGGTAGCCAGACCATGTTTGGGAGGCTAACTAAACCCCCAGGTGGGAAGTTTAAGAAGAAGCTGAGAACATAAGTGGGGGTCCTAAGGGAAGAATGTAGGCTGTGGACACAAATGTGAATAAATGGGATGAGGGAAACGAGAGTTGATAGAAAACAGGAGAGTTCCAAGGGCTAGACCTGAAGTGTCCAGTATTTAGATGTCATGGAGGCATAGAACAAGCAAAGGAGAATGAATAGAAGCTAAGTAAGGTAAGAGAAGCTAAGCAGGGTAAGAGAAAAACCAAGGCAGGGCCGTGTCCTGGAGCTTACATCAAAAAAATGCCCCAAGGAGGAGGCAGTAGGCAGCTGTAACCAATACTGCTCAACACTGATCATTAGATTTAGCAGCAGCAAAGATGTTGATGACCTCAACAGGAATATTTCAGCGGAGTTGAGGTGCATTGCCAAGCCCTTGTACAATGCCAGGGATTGACCTAACTGGGGCAGCCAGAGAATGAAGGAATGACAAACCCATGGACACACAGAAAAACTGGGATTGGATGTTCTGTGCTCGATCTCAGAGGAGCCTTGGCATCCCAGAAGCTCAGTGTGTTTATCATATACAGTTCAGCAGGGAGGTGGGGTTATTGCATGCAACTGAACAAGGGGCTGAGGCTAGTACCTACAGATAAACAAGCAGTCGGGCTTGTTACAGCTGCACCCGGAGGTAGGTTTAGCTAACCGCAGTAGGAGCAATCTCTGTAGGGGAGCAGTCTTCGGGATGTGAACATTGGAGGGTGGGGGTGGGGCGGGTCTGCGCATCTGTCAACTTTCGAACTCAGACCCAAGGAAGGCTTTTCCATCCCTCTCAGCCTCACCTGGGGGAGGCTTTGCCCCTCCTGTGGGATTGAGCTGCTGGAGTTTTTGATGTCCATGTCAACAATATGCACACAGTCAGGACTTAACTGGCTCCCTACAGTGTACAAGGAGAATAGGATTGTAGAGTTCAGAAACGGCAGAACAACCTTGAAGGGGTCAGAGAAGCAGGTTGGTGGCTGGAACAACGTAAGTAAGAACAAGGAAAACTCCGGTGTGACATCCAGTATATGCAAGAAAGAGAAGGGAGGATTTCTCCGCTGCTGTCTTACAGCTAGTGAAAGGGGCAGGCTCTAGTGCATCGGCTGATGCACTGGCTTCATCCGGGAACATTGACCATTGGGCCAGGGAAGGAACGAGGAAGACAGAGAACCTGGACGCTGAAGTGGGTCAGTGTGGGAGCTTGCTGATATTCCCTTCTGATTGCCTTTTGGTTTTGTTTTATGATGGCTTTGTTTTCTCAGTGAAGAAGGAAGGTGGACAGCTGAGGATGAAGATGGAGAGGGAGACACTAGGGGGATGGCATGGTTATCTAGGAGAATGAATGGTCTGGGGAAATCTCACGTCATTACCAAGCAGCGGTAGGGCCTGCTCGAGTTCTGTGGTCATACATTTAGAGAGAGCTTTCTCTGGCCATCTTGGGCTATACAGGTAGAGCTGCAGAACAGGTGAGTGGTTAGGTGAGCCCCAGGGGAGGGGTTGCCAGCTGAGCACAGTGGAAGCTGGGGTGGTAAAAGAGTGGAAGGCATGGGCAAGATGTCATTACAGAGATGAAATGGGACTCACATGGACTGAGGAGTGAGGAGGGGGAATGTAGGTCCAGATGGGGTTGAGGAATTGCTGGAGATGAGTGACTAGGCAGGAAGTGAGAAGGGGGTTGGAGAGTAGACTGCCGAGAGGTGGGAGTGTTTTGTGTTGAATTTTGTGCCACAAGGCCAGCAAAAGAGGGGAGCAATGTCAACAGAGGAGAAAATGCTCAAGGAGTGGGGTGGAGAGAGTATCGGAAGAAAAAAAAATCTGTATTGATACTGAAATCATCAAGGACTGTATACAGGAGCAGCATTCGGGATTATAGATAGTGATTCAGTAGCGAAAGCTCCAAGCACTGACAGGAAGTGTGAGGTTGACAGACAGATGCAGTGAGCAATGGCTCCCCGACTTCCCCTGTCTCCATCAGTCGTGTCCCAGCGACGTCGTTTCTCGTTCTCTGAGTATGGCTGAGCATACCCTCACGTTTCTTTTTAACGCTCTGTTCATGTTTTGTGCTCAGTCTTCTCTAAGATTGGTGTCTCTTAGTGGTTTATCGGAAAGAACTCCGTCTGTTGCTCTGAGCTGTACATGTTTGTTCTGTTTGGCTGTTGTCTTGAACAGTGTTGTGATGAAGTTTGTCTGGTCTTTCAATTTAAAAAAAAAATATTCGGGGCTTTTGTTGTGTTTAGAAAGGCTTTTATATTAACGTTATTTTATTTTATTCTGGAGATGCTAAGGGTGAAACCCAGGGCCTCTGAGGTACTCTCCTGATGAACTACACCTTCATCCCTAAGATGACTTTTAAAGTTTATCCTATGGGGCTGGAGAGATGGCTCAGTGGCTGAGTACTTGTTGCTCTTGCAAGGACCTGGGCTCTGTTCCCAGCACCCACATGATGGTTACTACCATCAATAACTCCAGAACTCCAGTTTCAAGGGATCTAACACCTTCTTCTGACATCCTAGGGTACCAGGCACACATGTGGTATATGTACATACATTCAGGCAAACGCTCACATAAAGTGATTTATTTTTTAAAGCAAAAATGTTATATCCTATATGATACATACCAAAGAACAATAAAATAAAAATCATGAAACATTCCACAAGACAGGTGAATATCAGACTAGCCTAGGATACACAGGGAAACCCTGCTCCATGAAAACAATAAATAAAAATTTAAAAATCCCACTGTAACCAATTCTTTCTTGTTTCATACCATTGTGTAGTCCTCTTGTGAAGATGAGTGTGACTTCATTATTTCTAAATTAAGTTACCACGGACTGTACAATCTCTAAATAATATGTCGTGTGGTTAGAGTTGTGTTTGTTGTTGTTGTTTGTTTGTTTTGCTGTTGTTTTGAGACAAGGTCTGACTGTGTAGCTCTGGCTGGCCCAGAACTAGATATATAGACCAGACTGGCCTTGAACCCATAGGGATCTGCCTGCCTCTGCCTTCTAAATGCTGGGATTAAAGGCATATACCACCACGCCTTGCCTACATTTTTCTTTTTTCAATTATTGGTTCTTTTTTCTTGTTTATGTATTTATTTACTTATTTACCTACTTGTTATTTATAGTTTTTGAGACACTGAGTGGCCCAAGCTGCCATTGAACCTGTAATTCTCTTGCCTCCTCGCTTGTACAGTGCTGGGACAGTAGATGTTTGACACACTCAGCTCCCAGTTGATTTTTGTGACCTCTTAGTGTTTTAATCACTATAGATTGTTGATGATGATGATGATGATGATGTAAAAAAAGTATATAGGGCAAGTGCTTACTTTCCCTAAATATTTTTTCAAGAGACTACTGGACATTTGGACCTTTAGTATTCTTCATGCAAATTCTAGAGTCTGCTTGTATAGATTCTCACATCAATCTACACATACACACACACACACACACACACACACACACACACACACACACACACCTACTTAGTATGTAATAATATCCTTTGAGTAAAATTGCAATGAATACAGTCTATCTGTCCATTTACACAGCTGCTTTTAATGCCTTTCAGTAAAGTTGTATAATTTTTCAAGGCCACATGTACGTAGTGTTTTCACTCATTCACTTATTCAGTAAATAGTTGTTCAACAGTACTGTGTGCCAGACACTGGGTAAATAGTGTACGTACCAGAGTCTGATACCAGATAGACAAGGAGCTAGAGATGAAGTAACCAAGGAAAACCGCAGCTGCATCATGGCAACTGTGTCTCCTGCCAGTCAGAATGCCTTTGTGGTTAAACATCCTTAAAAATGCACTTACGTTGTTCAAGCTTTGTTAGACATTAAGATGCCAGGGGGCATTCTCCTGCACACGTGCATTCACAGGGGGTCTACGTTCTCAAAAGACCTGACATCATTATACTATTACTTGCATTGTGGCTTTTCTTTTAATGTGTATGGGTGTTTTGCCAGCATGCATGGATGTATGTGTACAGCGTGCATGCCTGGTGCCCGAGGAGGTCAGAAGAAGGCATTAGATCCCCTGGAACTGGGCTTACAGATGGCCGTGAGCTGCCATGTGGGTGCTTAGAAACAAGCCTGGGTCCTCTGCAAGAGCAACAAGAGCTCTTCACCTCTTAGCCATTTCTCCAGCCCCATATTGTACTTCTGACACCCTCTATTGGTGGGATTTTCTAGAGGAGCATGGGAACCAGTGCTCTAAAAGGGAGATCTGGTCCACCATGATCTGGGAGGGAGAGTTACCTTATGTCATGAACCTGCCACTTAATCTCATAAAGACACATGAAAACCTTTTTAAAAATCTAAATGCAGAACCTCCTGGACTACTCCCTGTCTTGAGGTGGTCCACTACAATCTCTTTTTGGAGTGTTTATTTTGCTT